GAGATGAACTTTAGGGACCTCTTAAAGGTGGATAGAGTGGAGAGAGTCGGCCAGACTGGGGTAGGGAGTTCCATAGAATGAAAGAGGGGGTGTGGGGAAGTCCTGGAGGGGAGTATGAGAGGAGATGAGGTAGGTGATACGGTGGAGGGATTAGGAGAGGGACAGGTAGGTAGTACGGGGGAGGGATTAGGAGAGGGACAGGTAGGCAGTACGGGGGAGGGATTAGGAGGGATGGGTAGGTGGTACGGGGGGAGGGATTAGGAGAGGGACGGGTAGGTGGTACGGGGGAGGGATTAGGAGAGGGGACGGGTAGGTGGTACGGTGGAGGGATTAGGAGAGGGATGGGTAGGTGGTACGGGGGAGGGATTTAGGAGAGGGACGGGTAGGTGGTACGGGGGAGGGATTAGGAGAGGGATGGTAGGTGGTACTGGGGAGGGATTAGGAGAGGGATGGGTAGGTGGTACGGTGGAGGGATTAGGAGAGGGATATGGGTAGGTAGTACGGGGGAGGGATTAGGAGAGGGGATGGGTAGGTGGTACGGGGGAGGGATTAGGAGAGGGACGGGTAGGTGGTACGGGGGGGAGGGATTAGGAGAGGGATGGGTAGGTGGTACGGTGGAGGGATTAGGAGAGGGATGGTAGGTAGTAGTACGGGGGAGGGATTAGGAGAGGGACGGGTAGGTGGTACGGGGGAGGGATTAGGAGAGGGACGGGTAGGTGGTATGGTGGAGGGATTAGGAGAGGGACGGGTAGGTGGTACGGGGGAGGGATTAGGAGAGGGACGGGTAGGTGGTACGGGGGAGGGATTAGGAGAGGGACGGGGGGGGTAGGTGGTATGGTGGAGGGATTAGGAGAGGGACGGGTAGGTGGTACGGTGGAGGGATTAGGAGAGGGATGGGTAGGTGGTACGGTGGAGGGATTAGGAGAGGGATGGGTAGGTAGTACGGGGGAGGGATTAGGGAGAGGGATGGGTAGGTAGTACTGGGGAGGGATTAGGAGAGGGACGGGTAGGTGGTACGGGGGAGAGATTAGGAGAGGGACGGGTAGGTGGTACGGGGGAGGGATTAGGAGAGGGATGGGTAGGTGGTATGGTGGAGGGATTAGGAGAGGGACGGGTAGGTGGTACGGGGGAGGGATTAGGAGAGGGACGGGTAGGTGGTACGGGGGAGGGATTAGGAGAGGGATGGGTAGGTGGTATGGTGGAGGGATTAGGAGAGGGACGGGTAGGTGGTACGGTGGAGGGATTAGGAGAGGGATGGGTAGGTAGTACGGGGGAGGGATTAGGAGAGGGATGGGTAGGTGGTACGGGGGAGGGATTAGGAGAGGGATGGGTAGGTGGTACGGGGGAGGGATTAGGAGAGGGATGGGTAGGTGGTATGGTGGAGGGATTAGGAGAGTTGGGACGGGTAGGTGGTACGGGGGAGGGATTAGGAGAGGGACGGGTAGGTGGTACGGGGGAGGGATTAGGAGAGGGGATGGGTAGGTGGTATGGTGGAGGGATTAGGAGAGGGACGGGTAGGTGGTACGGTGGAGGGATTAGGAGAGGGAATGGGTAGGTAGTACGGGGGAGGGATTAGGAGAGGGATGGGTAGGTGGTACGGGGGAGGGATTAGGAGAGGGATGGGTAGGTGGTTACGGGGGGGAGGGATTAGGAGAGGGATGGGTAGGTGGTATGGTGGAGGGATTAGGAGAGGGACGGGTAGGTGGTACGGGGGAGGGATTAGGAGAGGGACGGGTAGGTGGTACGGTGGAGGGATTAGGAGAGGGATGGGTAGGTAGTACGGGGGAGGGATTAGGAGAGGGACGTGTAGGTGGTACGGTGGAGGGATTAGGAGAGGGGATGGGTAGGTAGTACTGGGGAGGGATTAGGAGAGGGATGGGTAGGTGGTACTGGTACGGGGGAGGGATTAGGAGAGGGATGGGTAGGTGGTACGGGGGAGGGATTAGGAGAGGGACGGGTAGGTAGTACGGGGGAGGGATTAGGAGAGGGATGGGTAGGTGGTACGGTGGAGGGATTAGGAGAGGGATGGGTAGGTAGTACTGGGGAGGGATTAGGAGAGGGATGGGTAGGTGGTACGGGGGAGGGATTAGGAGAGGGACGGGTAGGTGGTACGGGGGAGGGATTAGGAGAGGGATGGGTAGGTAGTACTGGGGAGGGATTAGGAGAGGGACGGGTAGGTAGGTAGTACGGGGGAGGGATTAGGACAGGTAGGTAGGTGGTACGATGGAGCAGAAGTTACCATGTTGAAGTAATTGCGGATTTTGATCCCCTTCTCCAGATCCCAGACGAAGATGTTCCCATCATGACCAGCAGACAGGAGGATCCTGGAATCAAAGGGATGGGCTTCCAGGACAAACACCTCATCATCGTGGCCCCTGCAGGATATGGGGACACACAATGTCAGAGACCCTGCAGGATATGGGGGACACACAATGTCAGAGAGACCCTGCAGGATATGGGGACACACAATGTCAGAGAGGCCCTGCAGGATATGGGGACACAATGTCAGAGAGACCCTGCAGGATATGGGGACACACAATGTCAGAGAGACCCTGCAGGATATGGGGACACAATGTCAGAGAGACCCTGCAGTATATGGGGACACACAATGTCAGAGAGACCCTGCAGGATATGGGGACACAATGTCAGAGAGGCCCTGCAGGATATGGGGACACAATGTCAGAGAGACCCTGCAGGATATGGGGACACACAATGTCAGAGAGACCCTGCAGGATATGGGGACACACAATGTCAGAGAGACCCTGCAGGATATGGGGACACACAATGTCAGAGAGACCCTGCAGTATATGGGGACACACAATGTCAGAGAGACCCTGCAGGATATGGGGACACAATGTCAGAGAGGCCCTGCAGGATATGGGGACACAATGTCAGAGAGACCCTGCAGGATATGGGGACACAATGTCAGAGAGGCCCTGCAGGATATGGGGACACACAATGTCAGAGAGACCCTGCAGGATATGGGGACACAATGTCAGAGAGGCCCCTGCAGGATATGGGGACACACAATGTCAGAGAGACCCTGCAGGATATGGGGACACACAATGTCAGAGAGACCCTGCAGGATATGGGGACACAATGTCAGAGAGACCCTGCAGGATATGGGGACACAATGTCAGAGAGACCCTGCAGGATATGGGGACACACAATGTCAGAGAGACCCTGCAGGATATGGGGACACAATGTCAGAGAGGCCCTGCAGGATATGGGGACACAATGTCAGAGAGACCCTGCAGGATATGGGGACACAATGTCAGAGAGACCCTGCAGGATATGGGGACACACAATGTCAGAGACCCTGCAGGATATGGGGACACACAATGTCAGAGAGACCCTGCAGGATATGGGGACACACAATGTCAGAGGCCCTGCAGGATATGGGGACACAATGTCAGAGAGACCCTGCAGGATATGGGGACACAATGTCAGAGACCCTGCAGGATATGGGGACACAATGTCAGAGAGACCCTGCAGGATATGGGGACACACAATGTCAGAGAGACCTGCAGGATATGGGGACACACAATGTCAGAGAAGCAGGAGTCACATTTATTCACAGATCAGGAATTTGGGGTGGAGGGAAGAATGGCCCCGGTCCCTGCAATACCTGCAGAAGAATGTGGTAGGAGGCGCTCTGATGAGGAGCTATCTACTCACAGACAATATATGAAGGAGTTGTCCTGTGTGGGAATTCCAGACTTTCAGGAGGAAGTTGTTGACGGCGGTGATGATGGTGGAGTCGCGCAGCGGTCCCAGGCCACCATGGTCACCTTCAGCTTGGTGACTTTGTCCTCCACATTTACCACAGAGCTCCTAGAACAGAGATAGTACAATCGTTCCAAGGAAAGGTCGCCCTGCGCAGGAGGAAACTGGCACCATAAAAGCTTCTCCTTACCCAAACAGAAAGAAGTAAGGGGGGGGGGGGAGGTGCAGCCTACCTACCTCAGCTTCTCCTCTACTTGTCTCTCTGCTGTAATCCATCACATGGTGCATTGTGTGCCACGGAACCCGGAACAACCTTATTCCAAGCTTTAGAACCTGCAGACTAAGGATTTCCAATTCTTCCCAAGTCTCTCTGGAGCCTGATTGGGTACAACCCTGACCCCACCACCCCTACTGACCCCACCACTGACCCACCACCCCTACTGACTGACCCCACACTGACCCCACCACCCCTACTGACCCCACCACTGACCCCACCACCCCTACTGACCCCAACACTGACCCCACCACCCCTACTGACCCAACCACCCCTACTGACCCCCCACCACTGACCCCACCACCCCTACTGACCCCACCACTGACCCCACCACCCCTACTGACCCAACCACCCCTACTGACCCCACCACTGACCCAACCACCCCTACTGACCCCACCACCCCTACTGACCCCACCACTGATCCCACCACCCCTACTGACCCCACCACTGACCCAACCACCCCTACTGACCCCACCACTAATCCCACCACCCCTGCTGAACCCACCACTGATCCCACCACCCCTGGTGAACCCACCACTGATCCCACCACCCCTACTGACCCCACCACTCCTACTGACCCCACCACTAATCCCACCACCCCCTGCTGAACCCACCACTGATCCCAACACCCCTACTGACCCCACCAGTGACCCCACCACTCCTACTGATCCCACCACTGATCCCACCACCCCTACTGACCCCACCACTGATCCCACCACCCCTACTGACCCAACCACCCCTGCTGACCCCACCACTGATCCCACCACTCCTACTGACCCCACCACTCCTACTGACCCCACCACTGATCCTACCAGTCCTACCAACCCCACCTCCCCTACTGACCCCACCACTGATCCCACCACCCCTACTGACCCCACACCACTGATCCTACCACTCCTACCAACCCCACCTCCCCTACTGACCCCACCACTGATCCCACCACCTCTGTTGACCCCACCACCTCCACTGCAGCCTCATGAAAACAAAGATCACAGCTCAGATACATGGCAATAGGCTGCAGTGCCGATCACAGGCCTTCTGAAAGCTCTGCTTGATTTTTCAGGGGAATAATTATATACAGTGAGGAACAGAAGTATTGAACCCCCTGCGATTCTGCAAGTTCTCCCACTTCTCCATCATGGAGGGTCTGACATTCACATTGCAGGGGATTCCCACTCTGAGGACAGAATTCAGATCACATTGCAGGGGATTCCCACTCTGAGGACAGAATTCAGGAGATCACATTGCAGGGGATTCCCACTCTGAGGACAGAATTCAGGAGATCACATTGCAGGGGATTCCCACTCTGAGGACAGAATTCAGGAGATCACATTGTATGATTTGTAAAGAATGTATTGTGTCTCGCACGGCTGAACAGAAGGATTTGAACCCCTGAGAAGATCCGTGTTAATATTTGGTACAGAAGCCTTTGTCTGCAATTACAGAGGTCAGACGTTTCCTGTAGTCCTTGGCCAGGTTTGCACTGCAACAGGGATTTTGGCCGACTCCTCCACACCGATCTCCTCCAGATCTGTCAGGTTTCGGGGCTGTCGCTGAGCAACACGGAGTTTCAGCTCCCTCCAAAGATGTTCTATTGGATTTAGGTGTGGAGACTGGCTAGGCCACTCCAGAACCTCGATATGCTTCTTATGGAGCCACTCCTTGGTTTCCTGGCTGTGTGCTTCATGTCGTTGTCATGTTGGAGGACCCAGCCACGACCCGTCTTCAATGCTCTGACTGAGGGAAGGAGGTTGTTGCTGAAAATCTCACAATAAATGGCCCCATTCATCCTCTCCTTAATACAGTGCAGTCGCCCTGTCCCCTTCGCAGAAAAGCACCCCCAAAGCATGATGTTACCACCCCCATGCTTCACAGTAGGGATGGTGTTCTTGGGATGCAACTCATCCTTCTTTTTCCTCCAAACACGACGAGTGAAGTTTAGACCAAAAAGTTCTCCTTTGGTCTCATCTGACCACATGACTTCCTCCCATGTCTCCTCTGACCACATGACTTCCTCCCATGCCTCCTCTGACCACATGACTTCCTCCCATGCCTCCTCTGACCACATGACTCTCTCCCATGCCTCCTCTGACCACATGACTTCCTCCCATGCCTCCTCTGCATCATCCAGATGGTCATTGGCAGACTTCAGAGGGGCCTGGACATGTGATGACTTGAGCAGGGGAACCTTCAGACGGGCCTGGACATGTGATGACTGGAGCAGGGGAACCTTCAGACGGGCCTGGACATGTGATGACTGGAGCAGGGGAACCTTCAGACGGGCCTGGACATGTGATGACTGGAGCAGGGGAACCTTCAGACGGGCCTGGACATGTGATGACTGGAGCAGGGGAACCTTCAGACGGGCCTGGACATGTGATGACTGGAGCAGGGGAACCTTCAGACGGGCCTGGACATGTGATGACTTGAGCAGGGGAACCTTCCGTGCAATGCATGATTTGAAACCCTGACGGTGTCGTGTTCTACCGACAGTGACCTTTGAACCTGTGGTCCCGGCTCTCTTCATGTCATTGAGCAGCTCCTCCCTTGTAGTTCTGGGCTGATTCCTCACCTTTCTTCTCATCAGTGATCCCCCACGAGGGGACATCTTGCATGGAGCCCCAGTCCGAGGGAGACTGACAGTCATCTTTAGCCTCTTCCATTTTCTAACAGTTGATCTATTTTTCTCCAAGCTGCTTGGCAATTGCCCCGTAGCCCTTTCCAGCCTTGTGGAGGTCCACCATTTTGTCTCTGGTGTCTTTTGACAGCTCTTTAGTCTTGCCCATGGTAGTAGTTGGCGTCTGACTGACTGTGGGGTGGACAGGTGTCTTTATAGAGCTCAGACAGGGGCTACTAAGTGAGATGAATGAGTGGAGTAGAGGGGGGCTTTATAAAGGCGCAGTAACAGGTCTCTGGGAGCCAGAATTCTTGCTGTTTCTTAGGGGTTCAAATCCTTCTGTTCAGCCGTGCGAGACAAATACATTCTTTACAAATCATACAATGTGATCTCCTGAATTCTGTCCTCAGAGTGGGAATCCCCTGCAATGTGAATGTCAGACCCTCCATGATGGAGAAGTGGGGGAACTTGCAGAATCGCTGGGGGTTCAAATACTTCTGTCCCTCACTGTACATTCAAAGGAGACGCAAACCAGGAGAACTTGCCGACTTTTGTACCTTCCTGAGCTTCAACAATCGGCTATTAAATGATTCTGTATATAAAGGGGACTTCCTGATAACCATCCTCGTTCCCTCCTTGGCCCCGCACTATCCTCCTTCCCTCCTCGGCCCCGCATTATCCTCCTTCCCTCCTCCTTCCCTCCTCAGCCCCGCACTATCCTCATTCCCTCCTCGGTCCCGCACATCCTCATTCCCTCCTCAGTCCCGCACATCCTCATTCCCTCCTCGGTCCCGCACATCCTCCTTCCCTCCTCGGCCCCGCATTATCCTCCTTCCCTCCTCCTTCCCTCCTCAGCCCCGCACTATCCTCATTCCCTCCTCGGTCCCGCACATCCTCATTCCCTCCTCCTCGGTCCCGCACATCCTCATTCCCTCCTCGGTCCCGCACATCCTCATTCCCTCCTCGGTCCCGCACATCCTCATTCCCTCCTCGGTCCCGCACATCCTCATCCCCTCCTCGGTCCCGCACATCCTCCTTCCCTCCTCGGCCCCGCATTATCCTCCTTCCCTCCTCCTTCCCTCCTCAGCCCCGCACTATCCTCATTCCCTCCTCGGTCCCCGCACATCCTCATTCCCTCCTCGGTCCCGCACATCCTCATTCCCTCCTCGGTCCCTCCTCATCCTCGTTCCCTCCTCAGTCCCTCCTCATCCTCATTCCCTCCTCAGTCCCGCACTTCCTCGTTCCCTCCTCAGTCCCGCACTTCCTCGTTCCATCCTCAGTCCCGCACACTTCCTCGTTCCATCCTCAGTCCCCCACTTCCTCGTTCCCTCCTCAGTCCCGCACTTCCTCGTTCCCTCCTCAGTCCCGCACTTCCTCGTATCCCCTCCTCAGTCCCGCACTTCCTCGTTCCCTCCTCAGTCCCGCACTTCCTCGTTCCCTCCTCAGTCCCGCACTTCCTCGTTCCCTCCTCAGTCCCGCACTTCCTCGTTCCCTCCTCAGTCCCCGCACTTCCTCGTTCCTTCCTCAGTCCCGCACTTCCTCATTCCCTCCTCATCCTTGTTCCCCTCCTCAGTCCCACACTTCCTCGTTCCCCCTCCTCAGTCCCCCCCGCACTTCCTCGTTCCCTCCTCAGTCCCTCCTCATCCTCGTTCCCTCCTCAGTCCCTCCTCATCCTCGTTCCCTCCTCCTCAGTCCCGCACTTCCTCGTTCCCTCCTCATCCCGCACTTCCTCGTTCCCTCCTCAGTCCCGCACTTCCTCGTTCCCTCCTCAGTCCCGCACTTCCTCGTTCCCTCCTCAGTCCCGCACTTCCTCGTTCCCTCCTCAGTCCCGCACTTCCCTCGTTCCTTCCTCAGTCCCCGCACTTCCTCGTACCCTCCTCATCCTCGTTCCCTCATTTCCTCCTCAGTGGGAAGGGCCCCGCACTTCCTCGTACCCTCCTCAGTCCCTCACTTCCTTTTTCCCTCCTCAGTCCCTCCTCATCCTCGTTCCTTCCTCAGTCCCTCCCCATCCTCGTTCCCTCCTCAGTCCCTCACTTCCTCGTTTCCCTCCTCAGTCCCTCCTCATCCTCGTTCCTTCCTCAGTCCCTCCTCATCCTCGTTCCCTCTTCAGTCCTTCCTCATCCTCGTTCCCTCCTCAGTCCCTCCTCATCCTCGTTCCCTCCTCATCCTCTTTCCCTCCTCATCCTCGTTCCCTCCTCAGTCCTTCCTCATCCTCGTTCCCTCCTCAGTCCCTCCTCATCCTCGTTCCCTCCTCAGTCCTTCCTCATCCTCGTTCCCTCCTCATCCTTGTTCCCTCCTCAGTCCCTCCTCATCCTCGTTCCCCTCCTCAGTCCCTCCTCTCCTCATCCTCGTTCCCTCCTCAGTCCCTCCTCATCCTCGTTCCCTCCTCAGTCCCTCCTCATCCTCGTTCCCTCCTCATCCTCGTTCCCTCCTCAGTCCCTCCTCATCCTCGTTCCCTCCTCAGTCCCTCCTCATCCTCGTTCCCTCCTCAGTCCCTCCTCATCCTCGTTCCTTCCTCAGTCCCTCCTCATCCTCGTTCCCTCCTCAGTCCCTCCTCATCCTCGTTCCCTCCTCAGTCCCTCCTCATCCTCGTTCCTTCCTCAGTCCCTCCTCATCCTCGTTCCTTCCTCAGTCCCTCCTCATCCTCGTTCCTTCCTCAGTCCTGCACCTCCTCGGCTTTTTGTTTCCCCTATAAAATGTTTCGATAGTAAAAGCCCAAATGGTTCTGGGAACAAAGTCCAGGTATACAACCAGAACCGAGGCGGCACCTACAGACATAGGAGGCATTCTTGTAGACTGTACTGTGCAACCTCCCTCTCACACTGCACTCTGTTGTCTCAGTGAAGCCCGGGAGCACACTGGCTGCAGTATGAAATCAGGAAGATTGAGAATACAGCCGGATGGAACGCATTCACAGACACCTTCCAGTCCTGGATGTTCCAGGACTCTCCTTACCCGGCCATTCTGGCAGCCATGTCCAGAGAAATCATCTTCCATTCCTGCTGCTGGTACTGCCAGATCCTCGCCGTGCCGTCCCGGCTCCCGCTGACAAAGCGCAATCTGCACAACAAACACAGGGGGGCGGTAATGGCAATCAGAAGGAGAACGGGAGTCCAATGAGGGCAGAGAGGGGCGGAGGGATGGAGGTGGGGGAGGGTACAGAGGGGCGGAGGGATGGAGGTGGGGGAGGGTACAGAGGGATGGAGGTGGTAGGAGGGGTACAGAGGGGTGGAGGGATGGAGGTGGGGGAGGGTACAGAGAGGCGGAGGGATGGAGGTGGGGGAGGGTACAGAGGGGCGGAGGGATGGAGGTGGGGGAGGGTACAGAGGGGCGGAGGGATGGAGGTGGGGGAGGGTACAGAGGGATGGAGGTGGGGGAGGGTACAGAGGGGTGGAGGGATGGAGGTGGGGGAGGGTACAGAGGGGCGGAGGGATGGAGGTGGGTACAGAGGGGCGGAGGGATGGAGGTGGGGGAGGGTACAGAGGGGCGGAGGGATGGAGGTGGGGGAGGGGGCGGAGGGATGGAGGTGGGGAGGGTACAGAGGGGCGGAGGGATGGAGGTGGGGGAGGGTACAGAGGGGCGGAGGGATGGAGGTGGGGGAGGGTACAGAGGGGCGGAGGGATGGAGGTGGGGGAGGGTACAGAGGGGCGGAGGGATGGAGGTGGGGGAGGGTACAGAGGGGCGGAGGGATGGAGGTTGGGGAGGGTACAGAGGAGAGGAGGGATGGAGGTGGGGGAGGGTACAGAGGGGCGGAGGGATGGAGGTGGGTACAGAGGGGCGGAGGGATGGAGGTGGGGGAGGGTACAGAGGGGCGGAGAGATGGAGGTGGGGGAGGGTACAGAGGGGTGGAGGGATGGAGGTGGGGGAGGGTACAGAGGGGCAGAGGGATGGAGGTGGGGAGGGTACAGTGGGGCGGAGAGATGGAGGTGGGGGAGGGTACAGAGGGGCGGAGGGATGGAAGTGGGGGAGGGTACAGAGGGATGGAGGTGGTAGGAGGGTACAGAGGGGCGGAGGGATGGAGGTGGGGGAGGGTACAGAGGGGCGGAGGGATGGAGGTGCGGAAGGGTACAGGGGGGCGGAGGGATGGAGGTGGGGGAGGGTACAGAGGGATGGAGGTGGTAGGAGGGTACAGAGGGGTGGAGGGATGGAGGTGGGGGAGGGTACAGAGGGGGAGAGAGGTGGGGGAGGACAAAGGGGGGAGAGAGATGGGGGAGGGTACGGGGGGATGGAGGAGGGTACAGAGAGATGGAGGTGGGGGAGGGTACAGAGGGGCGGAGGGATGGAGGTGGGGGAGGGTACAGAGGGATGGAGGTGGGGGAGGGTACAGAGGGGCGGAGGGATGGAGGTGGGGGAGGGTACAGAGGGGCGGAGGGATGGAGGTGTGGGAGGGTACAGAGGGGTGGAGGGATGGGAGGTGGGGGAGGGTACAGAGGGATGGAGGTGGTAGGAGGGTACAGAGGGGCGGAGGGATGGAGGTGTGGGAGGGTACAGAGGGATGGAGGTGGGGGAGGGTACAGAGGGGTGGAGGGATGGAGGTGTGGGAGGGTACAGAGGGCGGAGGGATGGAGGTGGGGGAGGGTACAGAGGGATGGAGGTGGGGGAGGGTACAGAGGGGGAGAGAGGTGGGGGAGGACAAAGGGGGAGAGAGAGATGGGGGAGGGTACGGGGGGATGGAGGAGGGTACAGAGAGATGGAGGTGGGGGAGGGTACAGAGGGGTGGAGGGATGGAGGTGGGGGAGGGTACAGAGGGGTGGAGGGATGGAGGTGGGGGAGGGTACAGAGGGGCGGAGGGATGGAGGTGGTAGGAGGGTACAGAGGGGGAGAGAGGTGGGGGAGGGTACGGGGGATGGAGGAGGGTACAGAGGGGGGGAGGGAGGAGGGTACAGAGGGGGGAGGGATGGAGGGTGGGGAGGTACAGAGGGGCGGAGGGAGGAGGGTACAGAGGGGGGAGGGAGGAGGGTACAGAGGGGCGGAGGGATGGAGGTGGTAGGAGGGTACAGAGGGGGAGAAAGGTGGGGGAGGGTACGGGGGATGGAGGAGGGTACAGAGGGGGGAGGGAGGAGGGTACAGAGGGGGGAGGGCCGCGTCCCTTTCAGGGTCACGGCTGTCACTTCCGGGTCACGGCTGTCACTGTCCCACCCAGAATAGCTGGGAGAGGCGTGTTGCAATCCATGTAGTGGAGCCCAGAGGACACGTCGAGGGCCCTTCAGACCGCTAATGTCTCACTAAAGAGATTTTTTTTTTTTGTACATAAAATCCCCCCCAAAAAAAACCATTTTGAGGCCCCCCCCCACATATACGCACATACAAAGGTGAATGCACGCGTTGAGGCGCCTCCATGTGAAAACGTCGATTGCGATACGTTACATATCGCCGCACACACCGGACAGAGCGCTGGTTCTCCCCCCGCCCCTCCTCCGTACAATATACCGATGACCCCTAGGGGGCGTTTGACGCGTCGCCTATAGAAAACATGGGGGACTGAAGTTTGTCGCCATTTCACGGACGCACGTAAATTTAGGGTGTGGCACGTCGGGTGTCTATTCCCTCGCCACAACCTCGTCCTTTCTACAAATTTGGGTCATTTATGGCGTTTGCGTGCCGACAATTCACTTTAGCGCAATGTTTACTGAAATTCTGCGTTTTCCTAGACCTCGGCACGAATATTTTATCCTCCGGGGTGTCTGCTCAGAAAAATACATCGCGTTTCGGGGCGTTTCGCGTCATCTTCGCGCCTGAAATTATTTTTTTTTAAATGTGTGAAAAATTGTTTTTTTTTTCCAAAAACGGCTCTGGCCCCCGATAGGCCGTCAGTAGCGAGATAACCGGGAATAGTGGGCGGAGAATCACTCACCTCACTCCAGCGGAGGGGGCGGAGTTATCTGACACGGGTAACGCAATTGACATTTGTATGCGTAGCTCCCAGATGTGTGTATTTATAATGTGTGTATGTAGGGGGCGGGGTTTAGAAATGTGGGGGTGGGGTTTAGACATTTGTGTGGGGGGGGTTACGTGTTTTTGGGTGGAACTCATTCTTACAACTTTTTTTCCTGTCCCCCCCGGCGTGTGCGACGCGTGTGTTTACCTTGGTATGTGCACGTATGTGCGTCGTCGGGGGGGGGGACGGGATCGCAACTTTTGGGGGGCATTTTTTTTTTCTTCTTTTTAAACTTTTTTCTTTTTAAGAAACTTATTTGTCACACGGAGGGGGAGGGGAGAACAACCCCCCCCACCCCACCCCACCCCCAGAGGGCGAGTACACCGCGGGAATCATCAATACTTACCGATCGCTGTTGTTACAGAACTGAACCGCGATGACTTTATCCTGGAAAACAAGAAGGAGCGCTCTGATTGGTCGCATCATTGTCACAGGCAGATCACAATTCAGGCCGGAAGAGGACTTTAACCCCCTCAGTACCGGACACTCCCCTCCCCCGACCCCTCCCCCCTCCCCTCCAAAATGTTTGGTCTTTTTTCATTTATATATTAAAAAACAAACAAAAGAAAGTGCGATGATATACATTTCATCTGTGTACAGTGTTGCATGACGGCGCAATTACCAGTTGAAGTAACGAAAGAGAAATGACTTTACAAATGACAGACGGCCCGGAGTTCAGGATTCATCGGATAAAAACACCATAGAGATGCAAGAAATGCAGATTATACCTGCAGCTCCCCCTGCTGGAATCATCTGATATTGCAGCTCCCCCTGCTGGAATTAGCTGATATTGCAGCTCCCCCTGCTGGAATTATCTGATATTGCAGCTCCCCCTGCTGGAATCATCTGATATTGCAGCTCCCCCTGCTGGAATCATCTGATATTGCAGCTCCCCCTGCTGGAATTATCTGCTATTGCAGCTCCCCCCTGCTGGAATCATCTGATATTGCAGCTCCCCCTGCTGGAATCATCTGATATTGCAGCTCCCCCTGCTGGAATCATCTGATATTGCAGCTCCCCCTGCCGGAATCATCTGATATTGCAGCTCCCCCGCCTGAATCATCTGCTATTGCAGCTCCCCCTGCTGGAATCATCTGCTATTGCAGCTCCCCCTGCTGGAATCATCTGCTATTGCAGCTCCCCCTGCTGGAATCATCTGATATTGCAGCTCCCCCTTCCGGAATTATCTGATATTGCAGCTCCCCTGCTGGAATCATCTGCTATTGCAGCTCCCCCTGCTGGAATCATCTGATATTGCAGCTCCCCCTGCTGGAATCATCTGATATTGCAGCTCCCCCCTGCTGGAATTATCTGCTATTGCAGCTCCCCCTGCTGGAATCATCTGATATTGCAGCTCCCCCTGCTGGAATTCATCTGATATTACAGCTCCCCCTGCTGGAATCATCTGATATTGCAGCTCCCCCTGCCGGAATCATCTGATATTGCAGCTCCCCCACCTGAATCATCTGCTATTGCAGCTCCCCCTGCTGGAATCATCTGCTATTGCAGCTCCCCCTGCTGGAATCATCTGCTATTGCAGCTCCCCCTGCTGGAATCATCTGATATTGCAGCTCCCCCTTCCGGAATTATCTGATATTGCAGCTCCCCCTGCTGGAATCATCTGATATTGCAGCTCCCCCTGCTGGAATTATCTGATATTGCAGCTCCCCCTGCTGGAATCATCTGCTATTGCAGCTCCCCCTGCTGGAATCATCTGATATTGCAGCTCCCCCTGCTGGAATCATCTGATATTGCAGCTCCCCCTGCCTGAATTATCTGCTATTGCAGCTCCCCCTGCTGGAATCATCTGATATTGCAGCTCCCCCTGCCGGAATCATCTGCTATTGCAGCTCCCCTGCTGGAATCATCTGATATTGCAGCTCCCCCTGCTGGAATCATCTGCTATTGCAGCTCTCCCTGCTGGAATTATCTGATATTGCAGCTCCCCCTGCTGGAATCATCTGATATTGCAGCTCCCCCTGCTGGAATCATCTGATATTGCAGCTCCCCCTGCTGGAATCATCTGATATTGCAGCTCCCCCTGCTGAAATCATCTGATATTGCAGCTCCCCCTGCTGGAATCATCTGATATTGCAGCTCCCCCTGCTGGAATCATCTGATTATTGCAGCTCCCCTGCTGGAATCATCTGATATTGCAGCTCCCCCTGCTGGAATCATCTGATATTGCAGCTCCCCCTGCTGGAATCATCTGATATTGCAGCTCCCCCCTGCTGGAATTATCTGATATTGCAGCTCCCCCTGCTGGAATCATCTGATATTGCAGCTCCCCCTGCTGGAATCATCTGCTATTGCAGCTCCCCCGCCTGAATCATCTGGTATGGCAGCTCCCCCTGCTGGAATCATCTGATATTGCAGCTCCCCCTGCTGGAATCATCTGATATTGCCGCTCCCCCTGCCGGAATCATCTGATATTGCAGCTCCCCCCCTGCCAGAATCATCTGATATTGCAGCTCCCCTGCTGGAATCATCTGATATTGCAGCTCCCCCTGCCGGAATTATCTGATATTGCAGCTCCCCTGCTGGAATCATGTGATATTGCAGCTCCCCCTGCTGGAATCATGTGATATTACAGCTCCCCCTACCGGAATTATCTGATATTACAGCTCCCCCTGCCGGAATTATCTGATATTGCAGCTCCCCCTGCTGGAATTATCCGCTACTGCAGCGCCACGAACACGTCTAGGAGCAACACTGGATGTCAGCACCCCAAACAGGAGAAATATTAGGGCGCAGGATTCCCCCCTTACTGTAGGGGCCGGATTCATCTATGTTAGCACATGACATGTTCTCAGTATCATCTTACCGCGTGGCCCTCCAGCTCAGCAATCTTCTCGGGTTCTCTTCGGGGCCCAGATAATATATTCTGATGACATGGTCAGTGCTGCCGGTCGCGATGAACATCCCACCTGAGACAGCAGAAGAAAAATCAATGAACAAGCAATAGAAAGCAGAAAGTTTCCGCAAGGACATAGTCAACTTGCAGTCTACCTCCCCATCTAGCCTCCCCCCTTCCATCACCCTCTCTCATCTCTCCCTCCTCTGACCTTGCAACGGCACTGCCCCCCACCACACACCCAAGGCCCTGCCTACCGTAACCCCCCCCCCATCACTGCACTCCTTCAGCCCTACTACCACTGAGGAAGTCAGCAGAGTCTTCTCAGAAGCCCGCCTCACTACCTGCCCCCTGGACCCTATCCCCTCTCAACCCCTCCGGTCACCCCCCTCTTCCCTCATCCGCTCTCCTTTACCCACATCTTCAATCTCTCCCTCGCTACTGGCGTCTTCCCCTCCCCCCTAAAACATGCGCACATCACCCCCATACTCAAAAAGCCCTCCCTGGACTCCACTGACCTCAACAACCTCAGACCAATTCCTTTCCCTACTGCCACTCACGTTTCCTCCAAGCCTCCTTGGAGCGCTTGGTCCTACAGATCGCCTAAGCGCCCACCTAACATGACAGCAACCTCCTTGACCCACTACAGTCGGCTTCCGTCCCCTACACTCCACCGAAACTGCCCTCCCTCAAAATCACCAACGATCTACTAAACGCCAAAGCCAAAGGCGACTACTCTGTCCCCTCCTTCTCCTGTCTACCTCTCTGCGGCCTTTGACTCAGTTGACCACCCCTCCTCCTTAATAAACTCTTCTCCCTTGGCAATCAGAGACAACCCGCTCTCTTCCTGTTTCTCCTCCTACCTATCCCAACGCTCCTTCAAGCGTTTCTACAACGGCGCCACCTCCTCCTCTTCCCTCCCCCTCTCTGTTGGGGTCCCCCAGGGCTCTGTCCCTTGGACCCCTTTCTCTTCTCCATCTACCCTCCTCCCTTGGCAAACTCATACACTCCCCACGGCTTCAACTACCACCTCTATGCTGATGATACTCAAATCTACCTCTCCACCCCTCACCTCACCCCCACATTCTCCGCCCGCATCACTCACCTCCTAAACGACATCTCAGACTGGATGTCGTCCTCCATTTCCTCAAACTCAACCTCCCTCCCATATACAAAACCGAGCTTCTCGTCTTTCCCCCAGCCCGTGCCCCCCCCCATCCTTTTCCATCACTACCAACAACACCACCATCAATCCCGCCCAGCAAGCCAAGGTGGGGGGGTCCTTGGCGTCATTCTGGACTCAAACCTTCCTTTCAACCTCATATCAAATCTCTCACAAAACTCATGCAGGCTCCACCTCCGGAACATCGCCAGATACGCTCCTTCCTTACCCCAGACACCACTAAACTACTAGTACACTCCCTGATTATCTCACGCCTGGACTACTGCAACTCCCTCCTCACCTCTATCTCCTACTTACCCAGTGCAGGCTCTCCCCGCTTTCAGACCATCCTGAACTCAGCTGCCAGACTCATCCACCTCACCACAGCCCGCTCCAACCTCTGCCACCCCCCCTCTGCCTCTCCCTCCATGGCTCCACCGATTGCCCAACGCATCAAATTCAAACTACTCACTCTGACCTACAAAGCCATTCACAACACTGCCCCCCTGACTACCTCACCGACCTGATTCCCAGGTATCACCCTACCCGTACCCTTAATTCGCTCTTCACAGGACCTCCTTCTATCCCTGCTCCCTGGTCTCCTCCTCACACGCACGACTGCAAGACTTCTCAGGTGTCCCCATCCTCCCATCCTCTGGGAACTCACTACCCCAATCCATCAGACTGTCACCTTCCCTCCTCACCTATCAGGCGCTCCCTGAAAATCCCCATCTCTTTCAGGGAAGCCTACCCCACCCTCACCTAACAGCCCGCTGCCCTTCCTCTCCCCTCTTCCACTCCATCCCCCACAGCCATTTCCTCCTGTACCTCTACCCCCTCCCTCCTAGATTGTAAGCTCGAAAGAGTAGGGCCCTCCTTACCACCCTCGTGTACTGTTTTGATGTTATGTTCTGTTTCGATGTATTGTCCCCCCTCTATTGTACAACCTGACAAACCCTTTGGCGCTACAATAAACTCGACCTTTAAATAAATAAATAAATAAATAAATAAGTTTCCCGCCCCCAACTCCTCAACACGTTACACGGCTGGCAGCGGGTTACTATTACATGGAGCTGCAAGTGACAAGAAACGTCCGCCGTTTTCTGAATTGGTTCTCCAATCTACACCATAATCCTCTTTCCCAATCGATAACTTTGGTGACACACTGAGGTCTGGACTGTGACGTGCGCTGATCCTGCGTCCCTGAAATTTTGCCGATCGCTCTCTAACACCCTAATTCCACAGTACAGGCGGAGGGCGGCAAGATGAACACCAACCAACCCAACCCCCCCATATCCACCCTTCCCCCCCCTCCCAATCCACCCTTCCCCCCCCCTCCCATCTCCACCCTCCACCCCCCCCCTCCACCCTCCCCCCACCAACCCAACCCTCCCCCCCCATCTCCTTACCCCCCATCCCCCCCCCTATCCTCCCTCCCCCCCCCTCCATATCCACCCTTCCCACCTTTGGCTATCCCCATATCCACCCACCCCCCCCTCCCCATATCCACCCTCCCCCCCCTCCCATATCCACCCTTCCCCCCTCCCCCAAATCCACCCTTTCCCCCCCCCCCCCTATCCTCACCCTTCTACAACCCATAACCCCCCCATATCCGCCCTTCCCCCCCTCCCATCTCCAAGCCCTCCCATAACCCATGCTCCACCCATCCCCCCCTCCCCATAACCACACCCTTCCCCCCCCTAACATCCACCCTCCCCCCCCCTCCCAGCTTATCCCCTTCCTCCCCCCCCCCATCATTCAGTCACCTCCCCCCCCCATCTCCACCCTCATCCCCCCTCCTCCCATATCCACCCTTCCCCCCCCTCCATATCCACCCTTCCCCCTACCATCATCCTCATCCTCCTCCCCTCCCCCCCATTATCCACCCTTCCCCCCTCCCATTATCCACTCCTTCCCCCTTCCCATATCCAAAACCCTTCCCCCCCGCCCCCCATATCCTACCACTTCCCCCCCCCCCCATATTCAATTTACCCTTCCCCCTCCTCTTCCCCCCCCAACATCCACCCTTCTCATCCCCAGCACTCGCCATATCCTACCCTTACCCCCCCCCCATATTCAACCCTTCTCGAACCCTCCCATATACACCAACGTAACTCCCCCCTCTCCCTCTGCCATATCCACCCTGACCACCCCTCCCATATCCACCCCCATCCCCACCCCCCCCAATCCACCCTTCCCCCCTCCCATATCCACCCCCCCCCAATCCACCCCCCCCCATCCCTCCTCCTCCCCCCCCTCCCAATCCACCTTTCCCCCTCCTTCCAATATCCACCCCCCCCAATCCACACCCTTCCCCCCTCCCAATATCCCACCCCCCCAATCCACCCTTTCCCCCCCCCCCCCCCCATATCCACACCCTTTCCCCCCCCCCATATCCCCCCTTCCCCCTACCCCGATATCCCCCCCTCCCCCAATATCCCAGGCTGCAGTCCTTACCTGAGCTAAAGGAAGAGCCAGGAGATCTGAAAGCCGGGCCGCGAACCGCTCTGCGAATTTCACGGGCCGATCGCTGTACAGAGATAAGAGGATACGTGGATTTCTGATCATTTTCTGAGCGAAGATTCCCTTTTATTATCATCCATTAAAAAAAAATCAATAATAATCATTTTGGAATGAAGCGGACGGGAGTTCCTATTGGACCATCCGGGACATGCGCAGTAGCGGAGAGGGTGTGGTTTCCATCACTATAGCAACCTTAAAGCACAACTCCAGGCATATAAAAAAGATCCCTTGCGATGGGGGTTGTGCAGCACACTGTCGGCCCCTCCCACCAGCCATTATCTGCCAGCAATGCATAGAGAAGCACAGAGACCCAGAGATGATGACATCATGGAGTATAAAATAACAGCCCCGGGTCACACGGATGCGGCGTGGAATTTACATCGGTTTCTGCGATTTTCGAACCGCATCATATTCACAACCCGTTCGTGCGAACCGCGGCGGGTGTGTGTTCTAAGTTGACACCCCGAATTCGGTCCGTAGGAATGCGGTGCGATGTGCAGAATCGGATGGAATCGGTGTTCATTCTGGGGAGAAAAAAAAGGGTCCTGCGCTGTGTTGGTGCCGATGCGGTGCGATTTGTACAAAATGTGCGACTCAAGTCGCAGCACACAGAAACCGCATGTGATTGGTGCAGGAATGTGGTGCGGTTCAGGTAGGAATGACATGCGATGTGCTGCACCGCATCAGTGTGAACCCGGGATAAAGTGGATGGAAACCCGACCATATCCCCAGTGAAGGGACTGGTCTCAGGTGATACAAAGACAAATCCTCCTACAGAGGTTGTACCTGTTTATCTGCAGCTGGTTTTCCTATGAAGTTGTACCTGTTTATCTGCTGCCGTTTTTCCTATGACGTTGTACCTGTTTATCTGCTGCCGTTTTTCCTATGAAGTTGTACCTGTTTATCTGCTGCTGTTTTTCCTATACATCCTTGTAAAACTCAGATACGAAAAGGATTTTTCACAGACTCACAAAGCAGGGGGAGGGGAGCTGCAGTTACACATTGCAAAAGAGCTCTGAAAGCTGATTGGAGGGAAGAGATCCCCCCCAACCCACTCTCACAGCACACAGGAACTGAGCTGAGGCTGTCAATCACAGGCTGCGTGCTGGAGCTTCCTCCCCCGTCACCATTTTATTTATTGACGTCAGGTAAACATGTCAGATGTGACTCATGCTGATCTGACACGACACTTAGTGCTCTGGATTGAGACCAGTACACACTACAGAGGGATGTGCTTTGTTCATATTTCATGTCTGAGGGTTACACCCCTTTGACGTGTCGGACTTACTTGAAGGTCATCGTGTGTCGACATTGCACTGCCAGAAGCAGATGGTTCCATCAGCACCAGTAGATGTGAGGTATCGAGTTTTTCTGTTTGTACACGGACAGATAAAAACTGAGAGGAGAAAAGACACCAATTCAATGGGGAGGACCAAGAAATGGAACTTTGTTCAACAACAGTGACAGGTTCTCTTTAACCATTATTTTTACCTAATGCACAATAACATCTTATATATATATACACACACACACATACATACAAACACACACATATACAGTCATGGCCGAAATTGTTGGCACCTTGATATTTTTTCCTGAAAAATCAAGTATTTCACACAAAAAAGGTATTGCATTAACACATGTTTTGCTATACACATGTTTATTCCCTTTGTATGTATTGGAACAAATATAAAACAGAGGCAGAAAAGCAAATATGACATAATGTCACACAAAAAACCCCAAAAATGGGCTGGACAAAAAGTATTGGCACCCTTAACTTAATATTTGGTTGCACACCCTTTGGAAAACATAACTGAAATCAGTCGCTTCCTATAAACCATCAATAAGCTTCTGACACCTCTCACCCGGAATTTTGGACCACTCTTCCTTTGCAAACAGCTCCAGGTCTCTCTTATTGGAAGGACACCTTTTCCCAACAGCAATTTTAAGATCTCTCCACAGGTGTTCAATGGGATTTAGATCTGGGCTCATTGCTGGCCACTTCAGAACTCTCCAGCGCTTCTTTGCCATCCATTTCTGAGTGCTTTTTGACGTATGTTTGGGGTCATTGTCCTGCTGGAAGACCCAGGATCTTGGACGCAAACCCCAGCTTTCTGACACTGGGCCCTACAGTGCGACCCAAAATCCTTTGGTAATCCTCAGATTTCATGATGCCTTGCACACAGTCAAGGCACCCAGTGCCAGAGGCAGCAAAACAACCCCAAAACATCATTGAACCTCCACCATATTTTACCGTAGGTACTGTGTTTTGTTCTTTGTAGGCCTCATTCCGTTTTCGGTAAACAGTAGAATGATGTGCTTTACCGAAAAGCTCTATCTTGGTCTCATCTGTCCACAAGACGTTTTCCCAGAAGGCTTTTGGCTTACTCAAGTACATTTTGGCAAAACTGTAGTCTTGCTTTTTTATGTCTCTGTGTCAGCAGTGGGGTCCTCCTGGGTCTCCTGCCATAGCGTTTCATTTCATTTAAATGTCGACGGATAGTTCGCGCTGACACTGATGCTCCCTGAGCCTGCAGGACAGCTTGAATGTCTTTTGGAACATGTTTGGGGCTGCTTATCCACCATCCGGACTATTCTGCGTTGCAATCTTTCATCAATTTTCCTCATCCGTCCACGACCAGGGAGATTAGCTACAGTGCCATGGGTTGCAAACTTCTTGATAATGTTGCGCACTGTGGACAAAGGCAAATCTAGTTCTCTGGAGATGGACTTGTAACCTTGAGATTGTTGATATTTTGCCACAATTTTGGTTCTCAGGTCCTCAGACAGTTCTCGTCTCCTCTTTCTGTTGTCCATGCTTAGTGTGGCACAGACAGACACACAATGCAAAGGTTAAGTGAACGTCTCTCCTTTTTATCTGCTTTCAGGTGTGATTTCTATATTGCCACACACCTGTTACTTGCCCCAGGTGAGTTTACAGGAGCATCACATGCTTGTAACATTCTTATTTATCCGCAGTTGTGAAAGGGTGCCAATACTTTTGTCCAGCCCTTTTTTGGAGGTTTGTGTGACATTATGTCGAATTTGCTTTCTTTCGGCCATGACTGTATACATACACACACACATATATACATACACACACACACAGATATATATATATACATACACACACATACATACATACATACACACATATATATATATACATACACACACATATATATATATACATACACACACACACATATACAGTTGCAAGAAAAAGTATGTGAACCCCTTGGGATTCCGTGGAGTTTTGCATGAATTGGTCATAAAATGTGCTCTGAACGTCATCTAAGTCACAACAATAGAAGAACACAGTCTGCTGAACATAATACTACACAAACATTAGATGTTGCCATGGTTTAATTGCACATAACATGTAAACATTCACAGTGCAGGGAGG